AGGAAGGAGACACAAGATCAGAGGTGGCTCCTGCAGTCTAACCCCCCACATGAGGGATGTCTGAGTGTGCTTCTCAAAATTAATTCCCAGAGCACCTGCCACAGAAGCACCAGGGCTCCTTGATGAGATGTAGATCCTTAAGGCCTGGTCCAGACCTACATATAAATCACAGCATCCCCTCCGGGAGCCAGGCCTGGGTGCTGTGATTTTTAGGAGATGACCATGTACCAGTCATGAACACTCACTCCAGAGCAGTGGTTCATCACCCTGGCTGCACATTAGAGTCACTTAGGGAAACTTAATTAAAAAAAAAAATTATGTCTAGGCCCCAGCCCACACCCACTAAAGCAGAACTTTAGGAGAACGGGCCCAAGTTTTTGTATAGTGTTAAGGCTTCTTCAAGGGATTCCAATTTTCTGTAGCCAGAGTTGAAGACCACTGACCCAAAGGTTCAGGAAGGACCAGGAGCAGCAAAGCCCTGCGTCTGGGCTGACACAGCACAGTCTGGAGAGCCACTCTCCAAATGCCCCTGCCCTGGGGGACTGGGGGCTTGGCATCGGCTCAGTGCACCTGTCTCCCTCACCCAGCTCACAGGTGGATTCAGCAGGAGTTCTGGTTTAAAGAGGCAAAGGGACCTGACTGTAGCTGAACTGCGGAGAGTCCTGGCTTCCTGACTAAAGTTGCCAATGGCAAGGGCACTCCCTGGTTTGGGTCAGGAGAGAGGCTCCCAAGATGGGCTGCAGTGTCCCCGAGAGCTGAGCCCGGGATGGCTATGACAGACAAGCAGAGTTTTTTTTTTTTTTTTTAAGATTTTATTTATTTATTTGAGAGAGAGAGAGAATGAGAGACAGAGAGCACGAGAGGGAAGAGGGCAGAGGGGGAAGCAGACCCCCCGCCGAGCAGGGAGCCCGATGCGGGACTCCATCCCGGGACTCCAGGATCATGACCCGAGCCGAAGGCAGTCGCCCAACCAACTGAGCCACCCAGGCGCCCAGACAAGCAGAGTTTTAAAGAACCAGACTTTATTCTGTGGTACAGGAGACCAGAGAGTTTCCACCACAAAGAGGGGAAAGCTATCCTGACGTAAGTCACGGATCTACCAAAGCAGCTGGCTGGGGGCTCGGGGGAGAGGAAAAGTGGACAGCTTGGGACAGCAGGCTTGGCTTAAGGGGTCAGACGTGGCCAGGGATCCAGGCCAGGCTAGCATTCCAGAGTCCAGGAAGAATAGCTTCCACCTGAACCATGTAATCTGGTAGAAAACCAGTGGCCAGCTGGGAGGTGGTGGCTGGGGGAGAAGGTAGGGGAGCAAAGGTGAACCAGTAAGACAGAGCAGAGGGCCCAACCATCCAAACTAGCTTCCTGGGGAGGGGTAAAGCCAGGATGGCCAAGAACGGTGAGTCAAGCTTTAACCCCGGAAAGCGGCGTAGAGAAACCCACCACTGTGAACCTATATGTACGCACGGAGCATGCGCAGCAAAACCTTTCTAAGAAGGGAAATCGCTCGTGTGCCGAAGGTGCCTCTGGCAGGAGGTCAGATGCAGGAGACTGGCAGGAGGGAAAGAGAGAGAAGCCAGGTGTCCAGGGTGAAGTCTTTAGCAGAGGGCTCTGGTTTGGCAGCAGCGTAAACGTACCCATGCAAGGGAAACAGACAGTGCCGAGAACGTCAAGTGTCTGAGGCCAGCCCTGGGGGTGCATTTTACCCCCTGAAGCCTTAGAGAGGAACAAGAGTCTCTGGCTAAGTCCCGGCCCGAAGACCCCACCTGCTTATTGGGTAATTCTTTGGGGTTCTCTATTGGAGTAGGTACTACGAGACCGGCAGCATCCGGCCTGGAGTGATAGGGGGCTCTAAGCCCAAGGTGGCCACCCCCAAGGTGGTGGAGAAGATCGGAGACTATAAGCGGCAGAACCCCACCATGTTCGCCTGGGAGATCCGAGACCGGCTCCTGGCGGAGGGTGTCTGTGACAATGACACTGTGCCCAGCGTCAGCTCCATCAACAGGTGAGAGGGACTCAGCAGCCGGGGGGGGGGGGGGGGCGCAGGGAGCAGGGCACCTGGGCTTTGGGGGAACCGTGACGGAGACCCAAAGAAGGGCCTGGCTTGGGTGGAACAGAACCTAGGGAGGGGCCTCCTGCTGAAGAATTAAGCAGGAAGCACCCCAGGTGCCGTGGGGCAGGTATCACACCTCCCCACTGCTCTGCGACACTCCCGCCCCCACCCCACCCCACCCCACCCCACCCCACCCGGGTTGTACTTCGCCAGTTTCCTTCCTCACACGCTATATCCTCTTTCATTCAATAAAAGAAACTCGAAGTGACCCTTTCCTGGGCCACACGACCCCTAACCTGGCCCTCATTCAAGCATTCACTCAATTGTTTGGTCTTTGAATTATTCACTCACAGCCTCAATCAATCATTTACTCACTCATTCATTCCTATATACGTAATTCACTCATAATGTGCTAGGCCCTGGGAACACACAATCCTTGTCCTTGTGGAGCTTATAGTCTAGTGAGAAGATAGACACTAATCAAGTACTAATCAAGTGCCTACACACATAATTGTAAAAATGCAGCTCTAAGTCCTCCTAAGGAGAGGAACATGAGGTATGTGAGTTAGCATAGGGTGCTTGGTTTAGGAAGGAATGAAAAGATGTCCCTGAGTAAGAAACAATGATAAGAGTTAACTAGGTGAAAAGGGGAGCCAAAGGAGCTTGGAGACAGCATATGCAAAGGCCCTGTGGCTCACAGATCTTAGACAAGAAGCTGAAAGAAAGCCAGCAGATAGAAGGGGAGCACGAGGTAGGTGAGGTGGAAATGTCGGCAAAAACTGCCTTTTAGAGGCTGGTGGCCATCTCACATATTCTTGCCTGTGACCTAAAGGAAACTTGGCAGACTGTAAGCAGGAGGCTGACTTGCATTTCAAAAAGTCCACTCTGGTTACAATAGGGAGAATAGATTAGAAAGGGTCAAGAGCAGATAGGGGTGGGCCAGTGAGTGATCCCGGGTGGGGGGGGTGTGGAGAGAGCTGGTGGTGGCTTGCATTATGTTGCTGACAGTGACATGCAGAGAGGAGTCGATGCTGGAGAGGTTTACAAGGTCAAACCCACAGAACCTCATGATGGCTTTGATGGGGGGGGGGGAGGCAGATGTAAAGCTCCACCTATATTTCCACCTTGAGTGACCAGTGGAACTGATCACGAAACAGAACACTGGGAAGGACCAGGTGTGAGGAGTGAGGTCAGGGGTTTGATTTTAGACAGGTTGTACTCGAGGTGCCTCTAAGACACCCAAGTGAGCTCTCAAAAAGGCACAGGATCCGGGGCCGCATGAGTCCTATTTCCTCCTCTTCTCTCTAATAGCCCTTCTCATCTCCCTTACAGAATCATCCGGACCAAAGTGCAGCAACCGTTCAACCTCCCCATGGACAGCTGCGTGGCCACCAAGTCCCTGAGCCCAGGACATACGCTGAGTGAGTGCTGATGTGCTGGCAGGCTCAACGTCGCACACGCACACCCACCTGCAAACCCGTAGTCACACACACGCCCACACAGACACACCCCCGGCGTGCACTGAGCCCTTCTGCAGGGACAAAGCCTCGCTGGGTCCCAGGAAAGATGCACTGACATACTTAGGGGTGGCGACACTTCAGGCAGCCTCGACTCCAAGATACCCTCCTGCCAGTGGGCTCTGAGGGGTGTCCCCTGCACATGCTGACCCTCTCCCTCTCATCCCACCGCAGTCCCCAGCTCAGCCGTAACGCCCCCAGAGTCACCCCAGTCAGACTCTCTGGGCTCCACCTACTCCATCAACGGGCTCCTGGGGATCGCTCAGCCTGGCAGCGACAGCAAGAGGAAAATGGACGACAGTGAGTGTTGGGGAACCAGAGGGCAGGTTGGGGGTGCAGGAGGGCAGTCTGCTCAGGCTCCAGGGGACTGGGGGCTCCGGACTTTGCAGGTGCCGGCGACTCCCACCTACAGCACATGGCCTGCCCTAAGCTGGCCACAGTCGCCCGGCCCGGAGCCGGATCCTTCCCGTCCCCTCTGCAGCCCGAGTCTGCCCCTCCACTCTGGCCTGGGGCAGGGGTAGCTGGGTCCCCTGAAAGCTTTCTCCCCGCCTGGGGATGCCAGGTGACCAGGACAGCTGCCGGCTGAGCATCGACTCCCAGGGCAGCAGCAGCGGGCCCCGCAAGCACCTGCGCACGGACGCCTTCAGCCAGCACCACCTTGAGCCGCTCGAGTGCCCATTCGAGAGGCAGCACTACCCGGAGGCCTACGCCTCCCCGAGCCACACCAAAGGCGAGCAGGTGAGCAGCCAGGTGAGCCCTGGAGCAGTGGTGGGCAGGGGCCCAGCAAAGCACCGTCTCTGGAAAACTCCTAGTCAGCCCGCAGTCTTGCCACCAAAGCAACTAGAAGCTGTGCCAGTGGGCTCAGGGTGCATGCTGCATGCAGCTCCAAGTTGACACAGACTTTCTTTTACCAGATGTGGGCACCTTCCTCCTCTCCCCAGCCCTCTTGCCTTCCGTCACCCTTAGCCTCTGAGCTCCGCCCTTTCTGGAAGAACACCACACCCAGGCCGTGCCATCCCTCTGTCCTCTGGGGCTTTCCCAGACCGCAGCGTCAGGTCCCACAGCTCTGAAGTGGCTGCTCAAAGCCTTACACCATGACCTCGACCAGCACCTCCAGCCTACCTCTGGCCGCTCACACCTGCACACCACTGATCTGCATTACTCACGCTCGCGAGCATGTCCTGCTCGTTCACAGCCCTCTGCACTGGCACGCTGCATGCCCGCCCCGCAGAGCACCTTGCCCTCCACCTTTCTGCCTGGAAAAGTACCACTTGGCCATTCTGACTCAGCTCAAGCATCACTTACCCATGAATCATGCCCTGCCCCTCAGACATGCTTCATCTCTCCCTCGTCTGTGCTTCTGCCCGTCCAACACGCCACTCCAGTAACTTCTCACGGCGTACTCTAATTGTCCAGTGGGCAGGGGTGTAGGCAGTGGGTTTCATAAGGCAGGGCAGCATCTTGAAGCATTTTTTTTTTTTTTTAAATCTCTGGCACCAACAAGGTGCCCCTCTTAGAATAGATACTCAGTAAAGGTGTATTGGTGAGTGAGCTGAGAAATCCAGAACAATAACTTGCAAGTTACAGGGGAGTTTTTATTTCTAGTGCTCAGGATAGGTGAAATGGTTTACAGTGGGTCAGCTTCTGGGAAAAGCTAACAGAGATGTCACTGGTCTCCCCTCACCGAGCCCAGCAGAGACTCCACAACTCTGACAGAACTTCCAGGACCGTTGTTCCCTCCGTTCACACGCATCTGTCCCTAGTAGCCGTGGCTTCCACCCCCCATTCCAGCTGAGGAATTCCCTTAGGGTGGCTCTGCTTACCCCACTTTGCTCACGCTGTCGTTTGATCCAGGAGTGAGGCAAGCCTTACGCCTTGAAAGTCTGAGCAGGACAAAGTGGACGATGCCAGTAAGCAGCTGAACTGTCGCCAGGCACCGTCTGGGCTGCTGGGCCCACGCCAGCTCCGCAGCTGGGCAGGCAATCTGCGTCAGCGATTTTATCAGCCTGGGCCGCGGCCACCACGAGGGGGTGCAGAGAAAGCTGGCCGTCAGCAGACCTGGGGAGAGGACCCGGGTGCTCATCTGAGAGGCAGCACATGGCTCCCGGAGGGAAGTGGGGCCGCAGCTATGGGCTCGCTCACAGGGAGCCACTCTGTGTGCAAGCCCCTGCCATCCTGCAGAAACCCTGCTGCTGAGGTGCTGAGCACCCGCTGGGTCCCAGGGCCATCTTCTGGCTCCATGGCTGAGCCCCCAGCGGGCCCTGCCTGATGACAGGGAGACCGAGACCAGCACCAAGCTGGCCCACGCGCATGGGAACCGTGGTCTTAGAGAGTCTTAGAGCCACAGGGACCTCGGGGACCATGGAGACCAGTCTTTGCATTTGTGTTTCGATAACCCAGGGCCAGGGAAGGTAGACAGAGCCTGGGGGAGCGAACGGTTGTGGAGCTCAGGTCTGCAGGCCCTGGTTTCATTCAGACTGGCCCACTGGCACCCTGTTTTTAGATACGATGCTTCTATGTCAGTTCTTACTCCAAGGCTGGAGAAACAGAGAGGCTCAGCAGTGTCCATCCATGATTCATTCCTCCCGCAGTCAGTCTTCTACTTGCTCATTCATTCACCTGGCTGGGTGGTGAGGGGCAGGGAGCATCCAGCCTGTGCTGAGGGCTCCTTGGGTCTGAGCGCCTACCTTTCCTGGCCTTGGTGACTCGGACTGTGCCGTCGAAGGACACTGTTTGCTCTTGCCTGGGCCCAAGAAGGCCCTCTGGCCTGGGGAGCCGAGAGAGAGAAGCACAGGTCCGCACACCCCACCTCAGGATCGGGGGACGGCACAATCATCTTTCCTGTAAGATCAACAAGGGGGAAAGCATTCAACGGAAACGCCATGTGGCCTCACTCCTGCTTGCTATTTCACCACCAGGCATAGCTAGGAGTCACAGTGAGGTTCTTTGTCCTCTATTTTACAAGTGCAACAAGAACAGATCAGCAGAATGTGAATATTATGACACAGACTGAGAATTTTGCAGCTTATGACTCTTCACAGAATTCACAAATAATAATACCTATTAGAGCAACGTGTTGGGCATTCTGTGCTAAGCACTGAATGTATGTATAAAAAAATCTCATGTAATCCTTACATCAGCCTGGTGATGCAGATTCTATTCTCCCTGTTATAAAGATGAGAAAGTCATGGCTCAGAGGGGTCGAGGAGCCCACAGCTACGTGGCTGATCACTGCAGACCCAAGCCTCAAACTGGCCCTCGTGCTAGAGCATTATGCCACTCTGCACCCCAATTCAAATTCAATCCCGGGAAGAAATCCAGCCATCACTGGGATGACTGGGGACTTTGGGAGGATTGGGGGATTTTTTTTTTTTTTCCCCACTGAATTATCTGGATTTGGGAAAGCTATGGGATTTTGAGTAGGTATTTGTTATCAAATCAACACATCCATAAGGCATTTTAAACTTTTCTTACACTCTCTAGAAATTAGGTATTTTGCTCAATTTCATTAAGCCTGGCTCTAAGCAGCTCCACCCCGCCTTAAAGCAAGCCCCCCTCGGAATGCATGGAACCAGAGCACCATTAGTCAGTAATCTCGGCTACACGATAATGACGCCCTGGTGGCCTCTAGAATTGCCTGCAGCTTCCAAAAGTGCCTGGCAGGCAACCAGAAAGCGCCCGGGTCCCTTGGAGAACCTGGCTCCACGGAAATCCTTGGAAGTGACTGCCTTTAGTGGAGCTGTTATGTAACCGCGGAGCATTCCTTGATTTTACTGTTGCACACAGAGTGTATTTGTGACGTGTGTGATGCACTCGTGGGGGACAGGTGTGTGCTTGCGTGTGCTGTCTTGTCCCCTCGAGGGAGGGAGTCATGGGGAGGGGTAGTGCACGCTTGCCCGTAACTGAACAAAGGGAGAAAGAAAACGCCGCAGGTACTTGATCGAGTTTTTTTTTTCCTTAACAAAATTAACCCCAAGGATCACTTTCCAGCGGAAGCAGCGAATTTATATTGACTTGGATATAGAGGAGAGAAAGAAGACAGCCCCCTGTTCCGGTGCAGGGAGGGGCGGGGCACGTCTGCCGCTTCCCTGAAGGAAAGAGCACCTGGGGTGGTTTAGTACCTGTGTCATTCTTGCCTGGGGACTTGCCTCTCTGGGCTTCAGGCTCTCCACATATAAAACACACACAACATCGCTTGCCCACGTCACAGGGCTGTTGGGGGTCAGTGGACAGGGTAACATGGGCAAAGCTCTCATGTGAGCTCTTTGCAAACAGACATGGTCATGACGTCATCCAGTTTAGCGCAGCATTTGGGAGCATGGACATGACAGCCGGACCCCTTGGGTTTCAATCCTGGCTCTGCCCCATAGGGGAACATGCCGGGTTTCGTGGCCTCCCTGTGGCTGTGCTTCCGATCTGGAGAGGAATAAACTAATGAATCGATTGAAGCACTTAGAACCGCGCCACAGGCAGACTGCTCCGGCCCCCGTCCTGCGGGTCCAGACCGTGCAGGGAGACAAGGAAGGAGGCGGCAGGGGAGACAAGGAAGGAGGCAGCCAAGCAGCCAAGCCCTCAGGCCACCAGCCAGCTTCGAATCCCAGGGCTGCAGAAGGGGAAGCTGTGAGCCAGGGATGGGGCTGCGAGTGGAGTCGGAGAATAAGAAACATAAGAACCCATTAAACAGACTAAGTGGAGTCCAGCATGAGTGGAAAGAAGGGGACAGTGAAGAAGGGAGCATTTCTGCGGAGATTAGGTCTCAGGGTCCCTAGTGAGGCCTGCTGCCAGGGGCCTCTGTGCGCTGACTTCTCTTTGTTCCCCAGGGCCTCTACCCGCTGCCCTTGCTCAACAGCGCCGCCCTGGACGACGGCAAGGCCACCCTGACCCCTTCCAACACACCCTTGGGGCGCAACCTCTCGACTCACCAGACCTACCCAGTGGTGGCAGGTACGATGCCCGAAATGTCCTGGGCCGCGTGGCCCCAGCTGCACAGAGGGGCTGGAAGGCAGGGCGTGGCTGGCCCTGAGGAGGAGGGCGCTAGGGCCCGGGGCCTGCAGAGGAGAGGTGGGCTGGGCCGGTTGGGCCTCCAGGTAGGTCCAGAGGGTCCCGCCTTGTAGTAGCCCAGGGCCTTCTCGGCGCCTCCTCGCTCCCCCACCGCCGCGGGGGAGGGGAGGGGCCACACACTGTCCTTCCGCACGCGCAGAGGCACAGCAGGGAGGCAGAGCTTCTCTCCCACCCCCCACTCACCCTGAGGACCCCGCGCAGCCCCTTCCGCCGCCCCCAGACTCAGAGAGGAGCCGCCTGCCCCAGCGCCCCGCCCGCACCCCCCCCCCCACATCTCATGGCTGGGTTCGTGCATGTGCCCACCCCATCATCTCACACCCCTCTCTCCTTGTTGTCTCCCTCCCTCCGGCAGATCCTCATTCACCCTTCGCCATAAAGCAGGAAACCCCCGAGGTGTCCAGTTCTAGCTCCACCCCTTCCTCTTTATCTAGCTCCGCCTTTTTGGATCTGCAGCAAGTCGGCTCCGGGGTCCCAGCCGGTGCCTCGGTCCCGCCCTTCAATGCCTTTCCCCATGCTGCCTCCGTGTACGGGCAGTTCACGGGCCAGGCGCTCCTCTCAGGTACGACAGGGAGGTCCCGGGCAGCTCTCGCGGGGGGCGGGAGGGGGTCCTCAGGGCCGGCCACCAGCCCCCTGCTTTGGGGACCAGCCCCCTCTCTGGCCCTCAGTCCTCTCCACCATCACTCTATTCCCTCAATCTTCCTGCAACTTTTGGACGTGCGGAGATGTGGTGCTCCGTGCGGGCAAAGTCAGGCCGTGGGAGGGGCAGGCACTGTGGGGATGCCAGGAAGAGGGGTGCCTGGCTGATTTCTGGAACCTTGCCCCAAAGCCCCATGGACCAGCAGGGACCTTGAGGTCAGGAGCTGGGCAGTATAAAGCAGTGAGCCCTTGGTCTGGGTGAGAAATAAAAAAGAACTTTGGAAGGCAAAAAGTCATTGGCTTTTGTAGCCAAATTCTGGATCAAATTTCTAAAGAAAACAGGGTCCATCCCCATTGGGTCTCCATAGTGTAGCTCTCCTTGTACCCAGCTTAACAGGGTCACCCTTGGAAAACAGTGAAGCAGAGTAACTCACCAACTGGAGAGATGGGAGAACAAGGGGACCTCCCATCAGGAACCTCCTTGGCCTCAAAACATTTAAAGCTGGAAGCACTCAGGAGCATCTAGAGCAAATCTCCCCTTATACTGATGGGAAACAGCCCCGGGAAGGAGAAGGGCCTGGTCAAGGTCCCTGAATAGGCATGTGGTGTCTGGCAGAGTGAGGGCTCAGCCTGCGTGCACCCCGAGTTACAAATCAAACTAGGTCTCCCTGGCAGAAGGACATCAGCCCATCCAGCCAGGACCTGGGCAGCAGCCGAAAGAGTCAGGGTGTCTGGCTTGGGCAGAAGGCCTGAAGTGGAGTGAGCAAAGGGAGCAGAGACCCATAATCGTCTTCAGATACCTGACGGGCTTCTTCAGAAATGGGACTATTTTAGATGTGGGCCCAAGGCATTGAACTAAAACCCATGGAGGAAGCCAGAAGTGAGCCAGCCCTTCTGGACCAGTGGTTTTCAACTTGCTGGGCCTCAAAACACTCTCTTGAAATGACAGCTTTTATAGAAGCCAGGTATCCAGACCAGACAAATGAAGAGCTACTCTGTTTGAAGTAGGGACTCTGCCCCCTAAAAGCCCTTGGACTTGAAAACCACCAAACCAGAAGAACAAGACCTCTACCTGCTCAGAGGGACCGCAGGGTTGTCTTATTCAAGTTCACAGACCCTGTCTTATAACTGACTCTACATTTTCTGACTGGCAGGCACCTGGGATTTTTATTCTCTGTGCATCCCCACATCTAATGTGGGAGGTCCTCTTGGAAGAGGTGGGCACAGAGGTAAAGGGTTAACAAAGGAAGTCCAGCGTGTGGGCAGAGAGGCAGTGTTTTTCGGGGTGTGGAGCAAGGAAGCTAATGTTGACTCAGAGTTCAAAATTTCAAAAGCGGGTGAAGTCAGCAGAGATGGGTCATTTGTTTTGACCAAAGTGATTAAAGGAGAAAAATCTGCGAGCTGAGTGGAATGATGTCAGCCAGAGAAAATGGGATGGGGCGGGGGGGGGGGGGGGGGGGCGGGGAGGAGGAGGAGGGGAGCCAGGGAGTAAAGGGATTCAAATCCACTTCGGGGTGGAGAGGCCCAATCACTGGGTGAGGCTGCCTGCTTGGTGTGAATGGCAGGCCCCGACCAGGAGGGCTACAATAAGGCAGGCAAGGGGTGAGGTGTGGGCAAAGCTTGTGATGATGGGGAGCAGTACTTCGGTTACTGTGTGAGTTGCCCAGAGACTTGGCAGGCCCTGTGGAGTGGAGAGGGAAGGGCAGATGGCCGTGGCAAGCGGTCTTGGATAGTGGTATGAGGTTATACTTACCCTCATAGGGTAAGGAAGCTGCAACACATGCCAGGATGCAGAGTGTGGCCCCTGTGAAAGCCAGTGGGGGGCTGCAAGGCCCAGCCCAGGGGCCGAAGATGGGGCACCTGAGGCCGGGGCTCTGAGAAAAGCAAGAGATGCCCAGACTTGGAGGGACTGGGTCCAGGCAGGTTGCCAAGAGCAGGAAGCAAGTCAGGGCTGCAGGTCACAGAGCTGCGCCAGCTCTGTGGCTCCAGCACAAGGTACCCGATGGCTGGTGTCCATGCAGAGCCCAGGGTGTAGACCTGGAGCTCCTTGAAGACTATCCACCTGCAGCCTCTGGTCAAGAACGGACCTAAATGCCTACCATGTGGCTGAGCCATGGTGAGCGGGCTGGGAGGAGATCCAGGGAGAAGGAAGGTTGGGAGGAAGGATCTCAAGAGTCTAGGGGGCTAGAAATCGATCCAAGGGAGGAAGGGGTGAACTTGGAAGAGAGAGAAGGTAGCTAAGACTAAATTATTCTGAGGTAGTGCTGCAGACAAGAGAAGGAGGCAGGACCAGGTGAGTTTTCATTCCAGATTCAGCTTGGCCCTCCTGGCTCGCCTCCTCTGAGTGGCTTCCTAAGACCCTCCCTGCTGCATCACCATCTCCCCCTGGGGTCACTTCCTCTCCTTGCCCAGGGGCTCTGATAATGCAATTTCCAGGGTGACTGTCCTTCTGGGTCTCAGCTTCTCCCTAATCAGCCAAAAATGAAGCATCAGAGTTTGGGGAACAATAGGATTGCCCCTAATATTCCTGCTGTTTCCCTTCAGATGCCCCAGTCTGGGTCCCAGCACACTTGTAAGTGATATTGAGGCCGTCCCTGTCCTGGCTGTTCTGGGGCTGATTCCAGCTCAGCTGATCAGAAAGCTCTGAGTTTGGTTTTATCATCAAAGAGTCCGTTACCCGCCTCCATTCTTTTGTGCGAAATTATATTTAGTCCTGCCAAAGAGATTTCTGGATTGCTATAAATTTTCTTTGCTATCAGAACAAGATAAGGAATTGAAAAGAGGTCACATAGAGGGCAGGCATCAAAGTGGGCAAATAAAATTGTCTGACATCACCTCTACCTTCTGAGTTCCTCCGAGGAATGCTACCAATATTTAGAACATTTATCAATATTTCTGGGGTGCTCGTGTTTTCTTATAGAACCCCTTCAAAGCCAGCCAACATGGATCTGTGTCTACATCACCTTCTGAAAAATAGGGCCATGTTGGAAGTATATTTGAGTGCTGAGGAGTTACAAATCAAAGAAACTCATGATGAAGAGCCTTAAAAATAAGTAAGTCAGTTAAAGGTCACGGTTAGGCCACGTTGGAGCGCATCTGCCTCATGGCTTCTGTGGTTTCATTTCTGAGAAGGCTGCAAGGTTCTCGGCTTTTTGGAAGAAACCACTTATTTAAGGAACCGAAGCAGAGTTTTGAGGGATTGACAGGGGAGTTTAAGGTGCCACAGCCTGGGTGAGAGCCATCCTGTAGAAAGTCTTCCTAGGCTTTCCAGGAGGGCCAAGTTTCATGGAAACCTTTGGGGTGTGCTCTGGCGTTTGATTCAGAAACCTCTGCCTCCCTGGGAGAAAACTTGATGACCAAGGAGAGATGAAGATTAAAATCTCAGAATTTAAGGGAATGAGGCTGATGAATTTATTTCTAAGAGCAATCTAGGGGCTAGTTCCATGGGATGGGGTCCGACAGGGCAACTGTGACTAAATTAAACTGTGGCATCAGGGGAGCACGTGCCCCGGTGCTCGGCCACTGAGCTGCAGAGCTCAAGAAGCAGTAGGGTCAGGTGATGGAAAGGGATAGATGGGAGTGGGAGAAAGGGGAATGTGGGCCCACAGGAGCCCTGGAGAGTACCTAGGCCAGCACCAGCAAAGAGGTGGCCTGAGAGCCAAGACTTAACCTCCTCACCTCCAGCCCCAGTCATGGTAGACCCAGATGCAGCCTCAGAATCCTGCTCCACACAGTGTACCAGGAGCCCCTATGAAAGAATTAAGTGGTAAGCTGAACCTAATTTGCAATCTCTAATTTAACCTAGCTCTTCGTGAGACAGACAGGAAGATGTGATTCAGAGCAATTAAATAGTTTGTCACTCAGCCACAGCTTGGCTTGGATCTAGAGCTCTCTTCTCTCTCTCTCTCTCTCAGAGGAAGCAGAAAGAGGAAAGAGAGAAAGCTTCGGGCCTGAATTAGCCACCAGTCTCTTCCATCACTCTCCTATGCATGCAGCTGTCCACCCTTTGTTCCCCTGCTGCCCCTCATAGGCTTCTGTCACCCCTTGCTCTCATAAGCTCCAGTACATGGCCAGGTGCTTCATCTGAGGGCCGAGGGGGCTGAGTCTGATAGCTGATTGTATTGCACTCTTCTTTGAAGAAAGATCAGATTTTACCTTGGTCTATCTCCTGCATATTCCTCCCTCTACTTCTAAATATACTAAAATTTCCTTGCCTCATCTGGGTTTCCAATTCCTCATTTGTTCGGACCCTGAGTCAAGTGAACTGAACCCACCTGTAGAATTCTGGTAGATTCCACCCTGTTTGGTCCAGCACCAAACATAGCTGCACATTGTACCAGAAGTCAAACAAATTAAGAGGTGGTGTTTATTTTTATGAAAACATTCACATAGTTTTAAATAATGAACACTGATGGCTCATTCAAATAGGATTTATTCTATAATGGTTCCCATGACATGTAACAATTTATAGAAGGTGTTCATTGCACTGATCAATGTCCACCTGTAGCATGAAACCCTGGCTCTGAATTATGCTGGTAACACCATAGCAGTAGTAATAAGTTGCATAAGGCTACTCCTACTATTTTTCTCCCATTTTGCACATGAAGAAACAAGCTTGGGCACATAGGTGGCTGATCTAAGGGCACTTAGAAAATTAGCTGTAGAAGCAGACTAAGGGCTGAGGTCCTCTGGTTCCTAGACCCTTCCCTCCAGAGAAAGGGCAGAAGCCCAGAAGGCCTGGTCTTGTTT